CCATCCTCTGCAGATTTGTGCTGTTGTTCCTTGAACCCTTCTGCACTGATTTCCAGTGCACTCCATGGCAGACCTCCACAAATGAACAGCCCGAAACCCTGCTGCTTTTGCAGCTACCGCTCATTTGTGGCTGCTCAGAAACATCGCACTCCCTGGGGATCCTTCCCAGCTCATGATCTGCCCTACCAGGCACCATAGGATGAGCTCCTTCAGGCACCTACGAGCCCAGCTGAGTGTCACTTCTGCCTCTTGTCCTTTTCTCTACTCCAGAATCAGCTTTTTTTTCCTTCCCCTTTCCATATTTCAGGACCATATTTCAGATTTCATATTTTCCTCACCTTTTCCAGGGTGTTGGAACTGAAATACAGGTTTCTGTCCTGAATTGACACAGCAGGATTCTCCTTTTTTGATATTAATTTGTAAAACTTTTTTTGTCTTTTGTTCAAGGATAATAGATTTTCAATCTACCACTCAGGGTTTTTGCACTACTTTGTCTCCTGGCATCCAACCAAAGCTTTTGCTTCCTTGCAAAAGCCTCCGGTTCCTGGCAGCATCTGGTCCTTGGGGCTCAGCAGCACCCTGGGGAACCCAGTTCGGGTGGGAGCTTCAATTGCAAGGGCTGAGCAAATGGACTTGGCCCAGAACTGAGCTCAACTGTGGGGGCCGACCCAAACTCCCAGTTCTTTAGGGGTTTGGCTGTTCTCACTTACCCATGTTCTCCCCAAATCCAAGCTCTAGGTTTGTCTTGGCTGTCTGACCCACAGTGAATTAGGTTTCCCTTGGCCACCTTGTGCAAGTTCAGCTGTTGCTTTCCACACCATCCCACTGGTTGGGTGCTGTGCTTCAACACCTTCACGCAAGGTATTGAAGATACCTCCATGGCTGATGCGGTTTTGCAAGCCATGGACACCCTTCCCAGCCCAGCTCTGCTCATCTCTGCCGTGGCTCTGTTCCCAATCCAGGTTTTTCCTGCAGGGAGCACCCAGCCATGCAGAGTAAACCCCAAAATTGCCTTCTGTCCCACTATGGCCCAGTGAAGGAGGGTGACAGCAAGGAGACTTCTCTCTTCTCTCTCATGCAATATAGGGCAGGGCACTGAGGCACAGGTACCAGGCACTTACCAACCCAAACACCTGGGGATCAGCCAGCACCTGAGAAATTCATTGTCATCCATCCTGTCCCTCCTTGCAGGGTCATCCAGAGCACATGTGATCCTTCAGAATATCACTTTGGATCCTACCACATGAATCTTGCTTGGCTTTGCAAGTCACAGCTCAATCCCCTTCTCCAGTGTGAGAGAATGAGTGGGCTCGGGGGCACAGTGGAGGTGAGGAGACAGTTATGTACATGAAAATCTATTGCAAAGAATATAAGCAGTAGTAGCTGGACACAAAACTCAATTTTTTGGACCCTTTTACAAATCAAGAGCTGCTTCTCAGCCCTTGATGAACCCCAAGGACTTAAGCTGCCAGCTGTGATGGCTGCTGAGATGAAGGATGACATCTGGAAGGAGCCAGCATCTGCAAATGGTCTGCAGGGACAGGGCTGGCCGTCATGGTCTGGGGCTTCGCGGATTCCCCAGCCCTCCTGTGCTCTTTTCCAGCAGTGACTGGGAAAGCAGCGCCAGCAGCTCCAGGGTGTGGGATGCTGCAGTCAATTTGCCAATTGCTCCTTGAGAGAAATCGATCAGTCCCTACTATCATTAGTCAGGGAAGCCCCTAGCTGGTCCCATTCCTTCTGCCCTCCACCTTCAAGAAATTCTTGCCGAGTTTGAGGCTCCTGTTTTCCTCCTCCCGCATCCTGCATCCTGACACCAGCATTACCCCACCAAGGGCTCCTTGCTTCCACTCAGAAGATACAAATTCTCATGGATTTTAGCCCAATACCAAGATCTGGCTTGTGTTCCCAGAGCCAGCGGCAGAGATGCTCACCCTACAAACACACCCTGTAGATGTGCAGAGACATGGGAAAGCTCAGGTCATTGCAAGAAGGTTTGGCCGATTGAGGTTGTGCCTTTGAATACCCACATATGTGGAGCAGCCAGTGCCTGAAGAAACTGGGACCACCACACAAGAAAGAAGTAAGAGAAGCTTCCACCCCTGTTGTGCTCTTGCAGCACGAGGACAAGGCTATCACTGCAGTAGACATTAGCACTGGGTGCTTGTGGGACACAATGGGGCCAGTGGCCATGGCAGGAAGGCAAGCGGGAACCCAGAGTGACCCCAGTGCAGGAGCTCACCATCACCTCCCCACCAGGGTGAGCAAAGAGCAGGGTCTGCTGGCAGCCCCATCCAGAATCAAGTGACCAGGAGCCAAAGGGAACAAGGACAAAGACACAGAGCCAACAACCACCCAGAAGATGGTGCCAAACCCAGGCCCTGCCCTCAGTACCAGCACCCACCCAAGAGACCCATCTGAGGGAAAAGCTGCTTGCAGGGATGAAATCCAGCAGAGCACAGCCAAGAACACCTTTCAGGGCAGAACCAGCACCTCCCCAGCTGAGCTTAAATATCCTCCTGGGCCCATGGGTGGGGTGTGTGTCCCAGGTGGGGCTGCTCAGGGCCATCAAGAGCTGGTGATGCCCGTGGGAAGAGGCCAATTTGGCCCTGCAGCTGCCCAGGTGTGGCTCCTGGGAGCCCTTTCCTGAAGATCTGAGGACCTGCCACCAAAATGAGCCCTATGAAGGCTTGGAAATTATTCAAAATTAGCACAAGCAGAAACAGCAATGGGTATAACTGAGCATCCCTTCTCTGGGGCTTGGGGCAAGCCACCAGCGCTGAGAATTTGTGAGGAAGATGTGCTGGCAAGGACAACAATGACGTTGGTGTCTGCAGGGTTGCATGTAGCCCATCCTCACCCAAAGCATTTCAGTCCCCCGAGTTGGGACAGGGCTTTAGGTCGTGAGTTTGGAGTCAGAAGTTGGGTTTTCAAGACAAAAGTCAGAGGTTTGGTGCTGCTGGAGTGCGAGGGATGCTGTTACAGCAGGCTGAGATGGCGCTTGGGTGCTCTCCCATGGCATAGTCTCAAAAGCTGTTATCAGACCACGTTCTCACCTTCTGCCCAGCTTTTCAGACATCAGATCCCATTTTTCTTCATTCCCCTCCAGGGTCCCCACAGGGATGGCCCCGATTCCTCTGGGACAAAAAGCCCCGGGTGCCCGTGGCCTTGTCCCAGATGGATGCTGAGAATGTCTCTTTGTTCCCCATTCCTAATTACTGAGCTCAAGTGGCTCATTAATGCCCCTGCCCTGTGCCTCCCCCCATCACTGCAGCCACCACGCAGGGTGAGGGGGGGTAAACCCCCTGCTGGGACATGCCAAAGCTCAGCCTCTGGGGGCAGATTTTGGGGGTGATGCCTAAAACCAGCTCAAAGTAAGCTTGGTGTGAAGCTGCTGGCATTGCTCATCCCTATACATAGCCTGGGGGGTTCAAGGGGTGGCCAGAAAGAGGAGTGGCTGGAGCAGATGCCCATCTAGAGCCTCCACTGCAAACTCCCATCACAGTTTTCTCAGCCAAAAAGTAATGAGCTGGCAGAAGCCTTTCGGTTGTTTTGGGAGCCGGGGATGGTCCCAGGCCCACCATCCATTTGCAGTGGCTTTGAGAAGTGCCGAAGGACGCGTGGTTTGCTCTGAGCCCAAAGCATCCCACGACCCTAAGGGAGGTTCAGGGCTGGTGTCCTTCCCCTGGTGCCCCAATTGCTCTGGGGCAAAGCAGAGCCCCATCATTCACCCTCTCTCTCCAGAGACCTGGGAGCACAATCAGCCTTTTGGGAAGCTCGATATGAATGATTTCTACACAATTTTTCGGCTCTTTCATGGAGGGAGCTCGCATTTGCATTTGAAAACTCCGGAGGAGCTGGAGGGGGGGACGGGAACGCTGGCCGGGTGCTATCAATGGGAAAACTGTTCTGTCTGATGCTGCCAGGGCCAAAAAATGTGAACGCTGCAGATTTCTGGCTCCGTTCATGGTCGGAATCGCGAGCTCTGCTGTCGGTGGCTGGCTGCTCCCCTCCCAGCTATGCTTTGCCTCTGCTGCCAAAGCAGAGCAGGGTTTTGTGAAGGATGTGGGGTGCCTGAGATGTGAAATGAGGGGGATTCAGCTTCCTGCATTTGGGAGCAGGGGAGGCTGTTTGTGCTCTCCAGTCCTTATCAGCCCGGGATCTGATCTGTGGTGATTTCAGTGCTAAAGCCATCAGTCTGTGGTGGAAGCTGAGGTCTGATGCACTTGTGTCACCTAAGACCCCTATGTGCAAACCCGTGGGGTCACCACCTGCTTTGTGCCCATTCATGGCTGCAGCACCCCAGGAGACACCACCATGGTTAATAAATTTCCTTTTTTTCTCCTTCTTTATACCCTTTACGCCCACAGGGTAACCTGCCCCAAGCACCCCCACCATACCCAAACTTCATCCTTCCCTGCCAGTGCCCATGGGTGCTCTCACTGGAGGTGGGTCTGTTGGGTGCAGGCATCTCCCTACAGCTCCTTGAACGCCATAGAAAATGAACCATCCCTGGCTGGGGGCGAGGGGGAACACAGGGATGCTGGGGGGGCCATGGTGAGCCGGCCATGGCAGCTTGCCTCACTGGAGTGCGTGCACAAACAAAACCCCGGAGAGCTTTGCACTGAGCTGGAAGTAATGGCATTACAAGCGCTTGCTCGCTTCTGGCTGCTCTTTGGGTCGGGTGAGGCATTTCGGGGCCAGCTGAAGGGCTGCAACACAGAGGGGTTTACTCCTGGTTGGAGCACGGCTCTGGGAAGGGTGGCACAAGGGTGGATGCAGCGTGGTCCTCACCTCCATCCTGGCATCCAGAAGTTTGCACCCACAGAGCATCCCCTGCGTGGAAAAGCCCTGCTGCCTGTCCTCCATATCCCGGTGTGGGCAGGGTGAGTGCCCCAAGCAGAGGGAATGGGGAGAAAAAATAGGGAAATGGCAAAAGCTGTTTACTTTCTTCTTTTTTCTTTCTCCTTTGCCTAGGAGAGGCGTGAAGGCTCACTGGCAGGATGCCGCTGGTGAAGAGGAATATTGAGCCCCGGCACCTATGCCGGGGGGCTCTTCCTGAGGGGGTGACGAGTGAGCTGGAGTGTGTCACCAACAGCACGCTGGCTGCCATCATCAAGCAGCTGGGCAGCCTCAGTAAGTCACGGTGCAGAGACCCCAGTGTGGGATGGGGATGGGGCAGTGGGTCGATGGTGGGATGCTGTGGTCACTTGCTCCAGTTCCAGTCACAGAGAAACAGGGCTGCAGCCACCCCTAATTCAGTTGGAATTATCCAGCTAATAAAAAAAGGAGGATGCTCAGGGCCAAGCCCAAATTTGGGGCTTGGTGACGTTTTTAAGACCTGTTTCTCCTCTGTAATCAGTCTGTGCAGTGGGGGACAGAAAGCCTCTCTCAGCCCCTTTTCTGCTTGGCCACTAATAGGAAGGTCAGGCGAAGATTAAAAAACCCCAACCTATTCTTTTCAATCTTCGAGCTTTATGAGAGAGAGGGCTATACAAAAGGTCTAAATCCTCAGCTCTCGTCCTGCCCTGAGACTGATTTCAGCAGCGAAGGGAAGGACGAGAGCATTGCACATGCCGGTGTGAAGATTTAATAGGGGCAAACTATTTCACTGCTGAATATCAACTTAAAATAGAGAGAGAAACAGGTTCTGCAGGGCTCCCCTTCTTTTTCCCCTCTCAAGAACTGGATTCTTCTCGAAAATACTCCCAGAAAATTAAACTCTGTATTTAGGGAGCTACTGGAAGTGCAGTGGCTAGCATGAGTAGCACCCATGGGGAAAAGGGAAAGGGGAGGTCAAATACAAACGACTGAGTTGAGTGACGGGCTGAGCGGACACTAAAAATGCCTTGCTGTGGGGAGCGGTTTGATATGTGGTTTTGGAGGAAACCTGAGGTGCTGGGCTGGGCTGGGTGCTGGGATGAGATGGGTGCTGTAGCCTGCAGGTGTCAGCAATGCTCTGCCAGGTACCAGCTCAGACTTATGATGATAACCCAGATAAAAAGCTACCGTAGCGATGCACTGAGTCCTGCAAGAAAATAACTGCTGAAGTGAAACAAATCCTGGCTTCTTCTGGCTGCAGCACTCTCCCTGCTGCCCTGCTCTTGATTTTCCACCTTCAGAGCTGGGTTCCCACAGGTCTTGTTGTATGATGGCTGTTTTTTGGTTGCATCCATCCTGGTATATCAAAAGGCTTTTTAGGATGAGCACCGCCATGGCTTGGTGCCTCCCACTCTTGCCAAAAAGGATGTTTGTATGCGGAGAAAGGCAGGCGGTTTGCGCTTCTCTCCCTCTGTGTGGCGCTTTGCCAAGTCTGGGACTGGATGAGGCTCAGCTCCCAAAAAGACCAAGGCTGAGGAGCCCCGTGGAGCTGGTGGGGAGGTGCACGGGCCAGGGGACAGGCTGGGAGAGGCGATGGCCGTGACAGGCACCTGTTGCCCTCTGCCAGGCAGGCACGCGGAGGACATCTTCGGTGAGTTGTTCAACGAAGCCAACAGTTTCTACATGCGGATGAACTCGCTGCAGGAGAGGGTGGACCTGCTGGTCATCAAGGTGACGCAGCTGGACTCCACCGTGGAGGAAGGTGAGGGGCTGGGGCGATTTTGGGGTGGGAGATGCATACTCGGGGCCAGTTTTGGGGGGGCTGAGACCACCCCTACATCTCTTCTCCTTCCTGCGCTCCCAGTTTCGCTGCAGGACATCAACATGCGGAAAGCCTTCAAGAGCTCCACGGTGCAGAACCAGCAGGTCGTGTCTCGCAACTCCATCCCCAACCCGGTGATGGAGATGTACCAGCGCTGCGACAAGCCTCCGCCACTCAACATCCTCACGCCCTACAGGTAGAGTGGCCTACGCATTGCTCCACAGGGGGACTGAGTGGGTCTTGGGAGGCCTTTTTCCAGGAGACGCATCAGTGGGTTGTGGTACCACCATCCCCATTGCATAGAGCACCTGGAATGAGTGACCCCACGCAGTGGTACTGCAGGTAGTGACCGCCGTGTTGGACTCGTTCATGGTGGGGCAACAGCTTATGGCCTTGATCGTACCAAAACCCTCTGTGCAGGGGAAGGAGGGATAATGGTTCCTGTGGCTGATAATCCCCTGTCCTCCCTTCCTAACCCCACAGGGATGACAAAAAGGACGGCCTCAAATTCTACACTGACCCCTCCTACTTCTTCAACTTATGGAAGGAGAAAATGTTGCAGGCGACAGAAGATAAGAGAAAGGAGAAGCGCAGACAGAAGGTAACGGGCGGGCAGGGGACACTGAAGGGGGCTGGATTGGGGTTGTCCAGGACCTGAGGGGTGCTCACCTTCTTCGTGCATCCCATTCGTGCATTCCTTACCCCAGGTTCCAGTATAAATTGGGGAACGACCTATTAGAGAGCAGTGTAGGGGAAAGGGACCTGGGGGTCCTAGGTTGGAGATGGAGCCATGGCTTGTGTGTGTCCCCAGGAGCAGCGGCTGGTGGAGGACTCCACCCGGGAGGTGAAGAAAGTGAGGAAAGCCCGCAACCGGCGTCTGGAGTGGAACATGATGGCGTATGATAAAGAATTTCGACCCGATAACAGGTTCTCACCATCCCCCTATCACATGGCGTCATCGGAAGGATCACTGTCCCCAGATAATAGGCAGGTTTTACCTACTACACGGTAGCTCACTGGCTCTCCTTTGCTTTTCTCTTCTTCTTCGTCATTGGGGGTTCCCACAGCGGGATCAGGGTGATAGGCCATAAATCCATGGTAGCCTCAGTTGGTGCCCCTGGGGCCGCATCATGGCCCTCAGGAGCAGACTTGGTGCTAGGATAAAGTT